AAGTGGGTTATAAAAATATAATAATAATAATAATAATAATAATAATAATAATAATAATAATAATAATGGATACATAGCTGCTTTGAGTCTCATTCTGGAGATATAAAGTGGGTTATAATAATAATAATAATAATAATAATAATAATAATAATAATAATAATAGATACATAGCTGCTTTGAGTCTCCTTTGGGAGAGATAAAGTGGGGTATAAATAATAATAATAATAATAATAATAATAGATACATAGCTGCTTTGAGTCTCATTCTGGAGATACAAAGTGGGTTATAAAAATATAATAATAATAATAATAATAATAATAATAGATACATAGCTGCTTTGAGTCTCATTCTGGAGATATAAAGTGGGTTATAAAATATAATAATAATAATAATAATAATAATAATAATAATAATAATAGATAGATAGATAGATAGATAGATAGATAGATAGATACATAGCTGCTTTGAGTCTCCTTCAGGAATAAATAAATAATAATAATTTAAATGTTATTCTGATGCTGTTATGTTAAGCCGCTTTGAGTCCCCTTTGGGGAAGATAAAGCAGGGGTATAAATAAACATAATAAAGATAATAATAATAATAATAATAATAATAATAATAATAATAATTTCCAAATGTTCCAAAATCCCATTCTCACCAGGACAGAAAGGAAGGGGAAGTCTTCTGAAAAGGGGCACAAACAGCAAAGGAAACCCCACAGGGCTGTTCAACCCTTCCCTATGCAACCCAAAACTCAAAGGTAGATAGAGAATTAGATAGATATCGCCTCTCTTTCTTCTCTTCTTTCTGAAACACTTACTTTGAAAACAGTTGTTCTGATTCTTGTGGGTTTTTTCAGGCTATAGGGCCATGTTCTAGAGGCATTTCTCCTGACGTTTCGCCTGCATCTATGGCAAGCATCCTCAGAGGTAGTGAGGTCTGTTGGAACTAGGAAAGTGGGTTTATATATCTGTGGAATGGCTGGGGTGGGGCAAAGAGCTCTTCCCTGCTGGAGCTAGGTGTGAATGTTTCAGCTGACCACCTTCATTAGCATTTGAAGGCCTGGCTGAGCCTGGGAAAATCTTTTGTTGAGAGGTGTTAAGATGTGCCTGGTTGTTTCCTCTCTGCTGTTTTGCTGTTGTAATTTTAGAGCTTTTTAATACTGGTAGCCAGATTTTGTTCTTTTTCTTGGTCTCCTCCTTTCTGTTGAGATTGTCCACATGCTTCTTGTGGATTTCAATGGCTTTTCTGTGTAGTCCGACATGGTGGTTGTTGGAGTGGTCCAGCATTTCTGTATTCTCAAATAATATGCTGTGTCCAGGCTAGTTCCTCAGGTGCTCTGCTATGGCTGACTTCTCTGGTTGACTTAGTCTGCAGTGCCTTTCATGTTCCTTGATGCGTGTCTGGGCAATGCTGCGTTTGGTGGTCCCTATGTAGACTTGTCCACAGCTGCATGGTACACGGTAGACTCCTGCAGGTGAGAGGATCCCTCTTGTCCTTTGCTGAACGTAGCATTTGTTGGATTTTCTTGGTGGGTCTGTAGATTGTTTGTATGTTGTGTTTCCTCATCAGCTTCCCTATGCGGTCAGTGGTTCCCTTGATGTATGGCAGGAACACTTTTCCTCTGGGTGGATCTTCATCTTGACTCTCGTGGCTTGTTCTTGGTCTTGCAGCTCTTCTGATGTCTGAGGTGGAGTCTCCATTGGCCTGGAGGGCCCAGTTGAGAAACAACCAGGCACATCTTAACACCTCTCAACAAAAGGTTTTCCCAGGCTCAGGCAGGCCTTCAAATGCTAATGAAGGTGATCAGTTGAAACATTCACACCTAGCTGCAGCAGGGAAGAGCTCCTTGCCCCACCCCAGCCATTCCACAGATATATAAACCCATTTTCCTACTTCCAACAGACCTCACTACCTCTGAGGATGCTTGCCATAGATGCAGGCGAAACGTCAGGAGAAATGCCTCTAGAACATGGCCCTATAGCCCGAAAAAACCCACAAGAACCTAGTGATTCCAGCCATGAAAGCCTTCGACAATAAGTTGTTCTGATGTTTACTTTGATCCTTGATGTAAGCCGCTCAGAGTCCCTTTAGGTAGATGGGGCAGGGTACAAATAAAATGTATTGCTATTATTATTATTATTATTATTATTATTATTATTATTATTATTATTTTGTGAAAGTTGCAATGGGTTGAGACAGGCTTTCTTCTCTTCTTTCCGGAACAGCACAAGCGCCCTTGCGGTTCCCGAGGATGATGGGCAGGCGATGGCAGCCCCCGCCGGAGAGACGGGCGAGACCCCTGAAGCGCAGCAAGGAGAAGACTCCCCAGAAGAGGCCGAGGCAGAAAGGGTCTCGCCCCCGGAGCCCACTGAGGAGCCCCTCGTTGCGGGCGCACCGAGTGAGGAGGAACCCCCTCCGGACGGGGATGATGTCGTAGGAGAGCCAGGGGAGCCCCCTTCCTCTTCCTCCTCCTCTTCCTCTTCCTCCGAGACTGGAGACCCCCTCAGTTGCTCCTCGGAGCAGCTGGGGGTCTTGATGGCGCAGCACCACAAGCGCCAGAATGGCTGCCCCGACCTGGAGGATACCCTGACCGAGCGGGACCCCCCAAACCCTCCCCAAAACATCGCTGTCCAGGTCAGAGACAACTCCCACGAGGTCACCTTTGAATGGGGGAACATTGTCTTTGTGTGTTTTCATGTGTTGGAAGGGATTTCTATTATTATTATTATTATTATTATTATTATTAATTATATTTATTTATACCCTGCTTTATCTCTCCCAAAGGAGACTCAAAGTGGCTATGCATCTATTATTATTATTATTACTATTATTATTATATTTATTTATACCCTGCTTTATCTCTCCCAAAGGAGACTCAAAGTGGCTATGCATCTATTATTATTATTATTACTATTATTATTATATTTATTTATACCCTGCTTTATCTCTCCCAAAGGAGACTCAAAGTGGCTATGCATCTATTATTATTATTATTATTATTATTATTATTATTATTTATTATTATATTTATTTATACCCTGCTTTATCTCTCCTGAAGGAGACTCAAAGTGGCTATGCATCTATTCTTATTCTTATTCTTATTCTTATTCTTCTTCTTATTATTATTATTATATTTATTTATACCCTGCTTTATCTCTCCCAAAGGAGACTCAAAGTGGCTATGCATTTATTATTATTATTATTATTATTATTATTATATTCATTTATACCCTGCTTTATCTCTCCTGAAGGAGACTCGAAGTGGCTATGCATCTATTATTATTATTATTATTATTATTATATTTATTTATACCCTGCTTTATCTCTCCCAAAGGAGACTCAAAGTGGCTCTGCATCTATTATTATTATTATTATTATTATTATTATTATTATTATTATATTTATACCCTTCTTTATCTCTCCCAAAGGAGACTCAAAGTGGCTATGCATCTATTATTATTATTATTATTATTATTATTATTATTATTATTATTTATACCCTGCTTTATTTCTCCTGAAGGAGACTCAAAGTTGCTATGCATCTATTATTATTATTATTATTATTATTATTATTATTATTATTATTATTATTATATTTATTCTCCTCTCAGTAATCTAACCCGGCAGCATATAGTCGGCTAAGTCTTGGTGGCTTTCCAAGGCCTTTCTTAGACCTTTCTTTTCCGCTTTGCTTTGCAGACAGACCTCAAGACAGCTGACTTGGAAGTGAACACGGACCAAGACGTGGAAAAGGACCTGGTAAGACCTTGCAAAACTCCCCAGGACTCTTTGCAGCTTCCCAGGGCTCCAAGGCAGGTTAAAGCCAAGGAGGGGCCATTCTGTACTACAGGCACAGCCCCAAGTTTTCATTTTGGTTGCTTTGTGTTTTGAAGAAAGAATTCTCAGCAGACTGCCACTGTAATGCACTTCTCTTTTGGGCCAAGTAATAATGGCAGGGCTGGGTGGCTTTTGAGGTTCTCTTCCAACTCTTTAGTTGGTGTTATTGTTGTTGTTATTGAAGTTGGATGGCCCTCTATTGGAGGGCTTTTGACTGTGCTTTTCCTGCATAAAGCCAGAAGGGGGTTGGACTGGATGGCCTTTGAGGGTCCTTTCCAACTTTATTGTTGTTGTTGGTTTGACTGGATGTCTTTTAGAGGTCCTTTTAACTCTAGAATTCTATTATTATTATTATTATTATTATTATTATTATTATTATTATTGAGTCTGAATGGCTCTCTGTTAGGGATGCTTTGATAGTGCTTTTCTACCATGGAAGCAGAAGGAGGTTGGACTGGATGACCTGTAGGAAACTCTTCCAACTCTAGGATTCTATTATTATTATTGAGCCTGGATGGCCATCTATTGGGAGTGGGAGGCTTGAATGATGCTTAGGCAGAATGGCCTTTCGAGGTCCCTTCCAACTCTGTTGTTGTTGTTGTTGTTGTTATTATTGAGTCTGGATGGCTCTGTGTTAGGGGTGCTTTGATAGTGCTTTTCCTGCATGGAAGCAGAACGGGGTTGGACTGGATGACCTTTAGGAGTCTCTTCCAACTCTAGGATTCTATTATTATTATTATTATTATTATTATTATTATTATTATTATCATTATTATTGAGCCTGGATGGTCTTCTGTCAGGGCGCTTGGAAGGTGCTTTTCCTGCTCAGGGTTGGACTGAATGGCCTTTAGAGGTCCTTTCTGACTCTATTATCATTATTACTATTACTATTACTGAGTCTGGATGGCTATCTGTTGAGGGGGCTTGGATGGTGCTTTTCCTGCGTGGAAGCAGAAGGGGGTTGGACTGGATGACCTTTAGGAGTCTCTTCCAACTCTAGGATTCAATTATTATTATTATTATTATTATTATTATCTCACAGTCTTGTCTGTTTATGATATCTGTGGCTGGATGGCCATCTGTTGGGGGAGCTTCAGCTGGTTCAGCGTGCGGCAGCCATGTTACTAACTGGAGCGGGATACAGGGAGCATACAACGCCCTTGTTGGCCCAGCTCCACTGGCTGCCGATTTGCTACCGGGCCCAATTCAAGGTGCTGGTGTTATCCTACAAAGCCCTAAACGGTTCCGGCCCAAAATACCTTTCAGACCGCATCTCGGCCTATGAGCCCACGAGGGCCTTGAGATCATCTGGGGAGGCCCTTCTCTCGATCCCGCCTGCCTCACAGGCACGTCTGGCGGGGACGAGAGAGAGGGCCTTCTCAGTGGTGGCCCCCCGGCTGTGGAACGCTCTCCCTGCTGACATTAGACAGGCGCCCTCCCTTATGTCCTTCCGTAAGAGCTTAAAGACCTGGCTATTCGAGAAGGCATTTAACTGAGTGCTATACTAATTGGTAATGACAACCGGAACGAAATGGATTACGAGATTGGTTACGATTCGATGATGGAACGGAGCGGATTATTTAGTGTAATTTAGATTATTGTGTATTTTGATATGTGATTCTCTGTTTGTGTTCTATTGTAAATGGTTTTATATGTTGTACACCGCCGCGAGTCGCCCCAGGGCTGAGAGCGGCGGTCAACAAATGCACCAAATAAATAAATAAATAAATAATTATTGAGCCTGGATGGCTATCTGTTGAGGGGGCTTGGATGGTGCTTTTCCTGCTCAGGGTTGGGCTGAATTGCCATTAAAAGTCCCTTCCGACTATATTATTATTATTATTATTATTATTATTATTATTATTATTATTATTATTATTATTGAGCCTGGATGGCCACTATTGGGAGGGGGAGACTTGAATGGTGCTTTTCCTGTTCACGGTTGGGCTGAATGGCCTTTAGAGGTCCCTTCCAATTCTATTATTATTATTGTTGTTGTTATTTTTTTTATTTAATTTTTTTATTTTTTGCATATTGGTGTATACAGCAAAAATTAACAGTGAAAATAAACAACATCCTTCCCCTTCTCTTTCCTATCTTCCACAACGTAGGGGAGGTGGTGGGTTGGTAGTCATGGATGTTGTTGTTGTGGTTATTGAGTCTGGATGGTTCTCTGTTAGGAGTGCTTTGATGGTGCTTTTCCTGCATGGAAGCAGTAGGGGGTTGGACTGGATGACCTTTAGGAGTCTCTTCCAACTCTAGGATTCTATTACTATTATTATTATTATTATTATTATTATTATTATTATTATTATCATTATTATTGAGCCTGGATGGCCATCTGTCAAGAGGGCTTGTATGGTGCTTTTCCTGCTCGGGGTTGTGCTGAATGGCATTTAGAGGTTCCTTCCGACTCTATTATTATTATTATTATTATTATTATTATTATTATTATTATTATTATTATGAAGGCTGGGGGCTTTGATGGTGCTTTTCCTGCATAGTGTCAGAAGGGGGCTGGTCTGGATGCCCTTTAGAGATCCCTTTGGAGGCCGGTCTCTTTTCCCTTAGGACAAGCTGATGTCGGAGCGCTGGGCGCTGAAGGAGCGCTACCAGGAGGTGCTGGACAAGCAGCGCCAGGCGGAGAACCAGCTCCAAGTGCGCCTCAAGCAGCTCCAGCAGCGCCGCGCCGAGGAGATGAAGAGCCACCAGGTAGGACGGCTGGCGTTATTATTGGTTTGTTTATTTGTTTGTTTATTTATCTCCTGCTTTTCTCCCCTATCTGGGGTGCAAAGCAGCTAACAAGGTATAAAACAGACGAGGTACAATTGGGATCAGAGAAGTAGGCATAATTAAGAAATAACCATTGACAATAATAATAATAATAATAATAATAATAATAATAATAATAATAAATATAAATAAAATTGTAATGTTCGTTTGTGGGATTAACATAACTCAAAAACCACTGGATGAATTGACACGAAATTTGGACACTATACCCCTAACAGACCAACAAGTGACCATCACTCATAACTCTCCCCACACACAAAAACAGTGGAAAGGACTTTAAAAACCCAAAAAGCTAAATGACGATACAGAAAAAAGGGAAGGAAGAGGAAGGGAAGGAAGGGGAGAAAGGGAAAGGAAGAAAGAGAGAAAGAAACAATGAAAGAGAGAGAGAGAGGAAGAAAAAAGAGAGAGGGAAAGAAAGAGAGAAAGAAGAAAGAAAGGAAAGAGGGAAAGAGAGAGAGAGAAAGAAACAGTGAGAGAAAGAAAGAAAAAAAGAGAGGGAAAGAAAGAGAAATAAAGAAAGAGAGAGGGAAAGAAGGAAGGAAAGAAAGAAAGAGCAAGAGGGAGGGAGGGAAAGAAAGAAAGAGAGAAAGAAGCATGGAAGCAAAAAGTGAAGGAAGGAAAGAGGTAGAGAAGGAAGAAAGGAGAGAAAGGGAAGGAAAAGAAAAAGGGAGGAAGAAAGGAAAGAAATAGAGAAGGAAAGAAAAAAGGGAAGGAAGGAGAGGGAGCGAAGGAAGTAAAGAAAAATGGAGAGAAAGAGGGAGAGAAGGAAAGAGAGAAGTAAGGATGGAAGCAAAATGCGAAGGAAGGAAGGAAGAGGTAGAGAAGGAAGAAAGGAGAGAAAGGGAAGGAAAATAAAAAGGGGGGAGAAAAGGAAAGGAATGGAGAAGGAAGGAAAAAAGGGAAGGAAGAAAAAGTGAGCGAAGGAAGGAAGGAAAGAAGGAGAGAAAGAGGGAGGGAAGGAAAGAGAGAAGGAAGGATGGAAGCAAAGAGCGAAGGAAGGAAGGAAAGAGGTAGAGAAGGAAGAAAGGAGAGAAAGATGAAGGAAAAGGAAAAGGGAGGAAGAAAGGAAAGAAATGGAGAAGGAAGGAAAAAAGGGAAGGAAGGGAAGAGGTAGAGAAAGAAGAAAGGAAAGAAAGAGGAAGATAAAGAAAAAGTGAAGGAAGGAAAGAAGGAAAGAAAAAAGGGAAGGAAGGAAAGAGGGAGCAAAGGAAGGAGGGAAATAAGAGAAAGTGGGAGGGAAGGTTGGCCACATAACTCGTGGTGGGTACAGCTAGTAATAATAATTAGAACAATAATAAATTTAATAATAATAAATATAACAGTAATAAATATAATAAATATAATTTAATGTAGTATAATATAATGTTCTGCTGCAGCATGACAAAGTTTGTGCTGTGTCATCAACTTTCCCCAAGTCTTTAGGAGAGAACCAATTAGGCAATAATGGCATTGATACCCCAGGAACAAAAACCGTGTGACGTGGTGCAACCTATAAGTCCTTCCTTCCCATCAGGAGATCCTGAAAGCCATCCAAGACGTGACGGTGAAACGGGAAGAGACCAAGAAGAAGATGGAGAAGGAGAAGAAGGAGTTTCTGCAAAAGGAGCAAGACCTCAAGGCGGAAATCGAGAAGCTCTGTGAGAAAGGCAGGAGGTATTTGGCTGGGGGAGACACGGGGTGGGGGTGGGTCTCTCTGCAGGGTTTGGGGTGCTTCCCAAAGGGCAGTGGCCTGCCTTCCTACTCGGTGGTCCCGCTCTTTCTTTTCCCGCAACAGGCTGCTGAAAGAACAGGAGGAGAAGGAGAGCAAGATCGTCTCTCTTATTGCGGAGCAGTCAGAGGAAAAGTAAGCCTTGCATCAGTTTATTGCCGTCAGCTCCTTTCGAAATAGCAACGGGATGCAATAATAATAATAATAATTATTATTATAATAATTATTATAATTATATCTATATAAATAAATAATTATATAATAATTATAATAATTATATCTATAGAAATAATATAGAAATAAAAATGTCATGTTAGTTTGTGGGATTAACATAACCCAAAAACCACTGGACAAATTGACACCAAATTTGGACACAATATACATATCAGACCAATGAGTGACCATCACTCATAAAAACACTGGAAAACACAGCAGAAGAGACTTAAAAAGCAAAAAAATAAAAAATATCTATTGCAATGCATGTGGAAAACCGCATATACACACACAAAACACATATACACACACTGGGCAACAGCAACGTGTGGCAGGGGACGGCAAGTGTGTGTGTGTGTGTGTGTATATATATATATTACTATATAATTACATATTAATTACATAATATATTACTATGTTATTGTATTATGGATATATATATATATATATATGAATAATAATATCATTATATATTAATTACAAAATATATTATTATATGATGGCTTATTATATTATTATATATTTGCCTGTATAATAATGATAAGGTTTTGCATGTCCTTTAAGTGGGGCTGATGCCTAACTCTTGCTCTTCTTGGCTGCCCAGGGAGGTGTGGGAGCAAGAACTGGACAAGCTGAAGAACCAGCACAATGAGGTCAACCAGTCTGTCCTGGAGGAGACGGAACGGGCCTGGAAGGCAGAGGTGGGCTGCACACTGGTGGACATTGCGGGGAGCGGGGATTGCACATTCATTGCATCTTGGGGTGCATATGCATTGCGTATTGGAGTGCATATGCGTTATAAATTGGAATGCGTATGCGTTGCTTATTGGGGTGCCTAGGCATTGCATATTGTGGTGCATAGCTATTGTATCTTGGGGCGCATGTGCATTGCATATGGGGACACACATGCATTGCATATTGGGTGTGCATATGCATTGCATCTTGGGGTGTATATGCACTGCATATTGGGGTGCCTATGAATTGCATCTTGGATATGAATGCATTGCATAGGAGGGTACACATGCATTGTATATTGAGAGTGCATATGCATTGCCTCTTGGGGTGCGTATGCATTACATCTTGGGCATGCATGCATTGCATATTGGAGTGCATATGCATTGCATCTTGGGACACATACACATTGCATATTAGGGTACACATGTATTGCATATTAGAAGTGCATATGTATTGCATCTTGGGAGTGCATATGCGTTGCATCTTGGGGTGTGTATGCATCACATCTTGGGCATGCATGCATTGCATATTGGGAGAGCACTTGCATTGCCTCTTGGGGTACATAGGCATTGCATCTTTGGGCACATATTAGGGTACACATGCATTGCATATTGGAAGTGCATATGTATTGCATCTTGGGAGTGCATATGCATTACATCTTGGGGCACATACGAATTGCATCTTGTCACTGCCCTCCTTCCCAGATCCTGTCCCTGGAGAGCCGGAAGGAGCTGCTGGTGCTGAAGCTGGAAGAGGCCGAGAAAGAAGCGGAGCTGCACCTCACCTACCTCAAGTGAGAGGGGTGCAAAAAGGGGGCGGGGTTCAGGCCTTCCAGGTGTTTTGGACTGCAACTTCCACAATTCCTAACAGCCAGCAGGATGTTAGGAATTGTGGGAGTTGAAATCCAAAAAGCTTGGAGGGCCTCAGTTTGACCATCTCCTTTCCCCTTGTGGGTCAGGTCGGCGCCACCAACGCTGGAGACCATTCGGCCGAAGCAGGAGTGGGAGACTCGGCTGAACCGGATACGGATGACCAAGGAGAGCGTCCGGGTGAGTCCTCCTCCCTCTCTGGATGCTGGGTTGACCAAGGAAGGGCTCTCCAATGTTGTTGTTGCTGTTGCTGTTGTTGTGTGTTTATTACCCATGACTCCAGGTGGGACACTACATAGTTAAAATATGATGATGATGATGATGATGATGTTATGGCTCCAAGCAAGGCACAACATTGTTAAAATTATTGTTGTTGCTATTATGTATTTATTACCCTGCCTTCCTTACGACTCCAGGTGGGGCACCACATAGTTAAAATATAATAATAATAATAATAATAATAATAATAATAATAATAATAATAATATAGTTATGGCTTATCGCTATTATGTATTTTTTATCCACCTCTCCCATTGGGGTTCAGCCTGGGTGTGAACCTGAACCTGAACCTGCTTCTGTGATTGTATTTCCTGATGCTACAGAAAATGTATTTTCTGATGCTCCTGATGCTAATGAAAATGTTGATTCTGAGGTCAGTGTAGAAGAAACTCCTGCAGGTTTGGAAGGGTTGGAAAGTGAAAGTACACAATCTCCTGAGAATGTTTCAGGGTCAAACGGTGATAGCTCTCCAGAGAAGCTAACACCTGGGATCCTTAATGAGGATAGAAGAGGACAGATTTGGAGAAACAGGAGTGAATCGCAGAGTCTGCGAAGGTCAAGCAGATTAAAAGTAAAAGAAACAAGGGCTTCAAAGCCTGGAGGCGTGTCACAAAACAGTTTCCCCGGCTTTAAGTGCCTCTCGCCGGGTTGACTCTTTAGATCAGGCATCGTTTTAGACTGAGGCATTACCTTGGCAGATCTCTCATTTCCCGTGGCCTTCATCCCAAGAGGCTTCTAGTGCTCCAAGTACGGTTAGTGGATTGCTAACAGGTTCCAGGATTTTACAGTGTTGCTTTTGGTTTTTGATCTAGTTCATGGATATTTGTGATTGCTGGTTTTTACTGTGGCTTTTTGATTTTGCATTTTCCTCTATTTTGTAACCATTTTTCATCAATAAAAAGGGATTGTTTTTCCCACAGTGAAGTGTGGTGGATTGTTATCTTAGGGTCTTGTTTCCTGCTCTGGGTTGCAACATCTCCTTACGATGCCAGACAGGGCACAACATTGTTATTATTATTATTATTATTATTATTATTATTATTATTGCTATTATTATTATTTATGTATTTATTACCCAGCTCTCCTTATGACTCCAGGTGGGGCACCACATAGATAATAATAATAATAATAATAATAATAATAATAATAATAATAATAATAATAATAATAATAATAATATAGTTATGACTCCAAGCAAGGCACAATGTTGTAAAAATTATTGTGTTGTTATCGCTATTATGTATTTATTATCCACCTCTCCTTACGATGCCAGACAGGGCACAACATTGTTAACATTATTATTATTATTATTATTACTATTATTGCTATTATTATTATTTATGTATTTATTACCCAGCTCTCAGGACTCCAGGTGGGGCACCACATATTTAAAATAATAATAATAATAATAATAATAATAATAATATAGTTATGGCTCCAAGCAAGGCACAATGTTGTAAAAATTATTGTTGTTATCGCTATTATGTATTTATTATCCAGCTCTCCTTACGATGCCAGACAGGGCACAACATTGTTAACATTATTATTATTATTATTATTATTATTATTATTATTATTATTATTATTAATGTATGTATTACTGGACTGACCTTGAAGGAGCTGGGGGTGGTGATGGCCGACAGGGAGCTCTGGCGTGGGCTGGTACATGAGGTCACGAAGAGTCGGAGACGACTGAACGAATGAACAACAATGTATTACCCAACTCTCATTATGATACCAGATGAGGCACGACATCATTAAAATTAAAAATATTAGTATTGTTGTTATTATGTATTTATTACCCAACTCTCATTGCGGCTCTAGATGGGGCACAACGTTGTTATCATCATCATCATCATCATATATTTATTATCAAACTCTCCTTACAACAGTGTGACATCCGGTGCTTGCCTTTTCTTGCAGGACCAGTTCAATGACCACATCCAGCTGGTGCGGAACGGGGCCAAACTGAGCAGCCTGCCCCAGATCCCCACTCCGCCGCTGCCCCCGCCCCCTTTGGAGGTGAGACCCCCCCCCCCACTCCACTCCCCATATGCAGTGCAGTGTCTCCGGGCGACGACGTGTGGGATCGGTCGTAGGTTGTCGTAACGCTGGCTGCCTGCCGTCCTCTCTTTCTCTCTCTCTCTCTCTGCAGGCGGACTTCCTGCTGCCGGCCTTCCAGCCCAGTGGCCCCCCGCCCTTTGCCATGGTCATGCCCAGCGCCGACCCCCGTGTGCTCTCCTTCCCGCTCCTCAACGCTTCCGCCGCCCGGACCGGCCGCACCTCGCCCACCGCACAAGGACGCAGCGGCAGCCCTGCTCAGGCCGGACCGCGGGCCGCCAACCCCCCTCCGCCCGGCCTGGAGTTCCCGAGGCCCCCGCCCGTGGACAAGCTGGAGAAGATCCTGGAGAAGCTCCTGGCGCGCTTCCCCCAGTGCAACAAGTGAGCCGTGCGCCTCCTCGGGTCGCTTTCTCTCTCGCGTGAGACAACTTCGGCCCTCCCAGGTGTTTTGGACTTCAACTCCCACAATCCCTAAGAGCCGGTAGGCTCTTAGGGATTGTGGGAGTTGGAGTCCAAAACACCTGGGAGGGCCCAAGCTTGTCAACGAATGTCAGCCTTCCTTCCTTCCTCCGTCCAGGCCGCAACTGACCAACAACTTGCAGCAGATCAAAGCGGCGCGAAGGACCCTGGCGGGGCTGACCATGGAAGAGCTGAGCCAGTTGGTGGCCGCCAAGCTGGCCGAGCAGCAGGAGCAGCGGGTGGCGGCCGTGGGCACGCAGGTGGGCCTGGGGAGGGGTCTCCGGAGAGGATGGGTCTCCGGCCGGGGGCGCCTCTAGATCCTCCCCTTTCCATCCTTTCTCCGCTGCAGGCTCCTCGCGGGCGGATGTGCTCCCCCATGTTCCCGGCTCCTCTCCCGCAGATGGGCAACCCCATGTTCCTGCCCGCTGCTGCCCAGGTCTCCTACGCTGCGGCCCCCGCTCAGGTGAGAAGATTTCCTCCTCTCTCCACCCCACCTCCCCCAGAATTAAACTGACCATACCTTGCTTCCAGGGGTCAGTTGTCTTGCAGAGCATTAGAGCCTAGGCACGGGCCAACTTGGGCCCTCCCGCCTGTTGTTTTTGGCTTCAACTCCCACATATTCCTCACAACCGGTCTCCTTCTGAGGCTGAGAGAGTGTGGCTTGGCTAAAGACACCCAGCGGGTTCAGAACCACTACATCACGCTTTATGCAATCCTTCCTTCTCTGTTTCCTACTTACCTTCCTTTCTCCTTCCCTCTCTTTTTCCAACCTCCTTTCCTGTCTGTCTTTCTGTCTTTCTTTCTTTCTTTCTTTTCATCACCCAATCTTCTTCCCTTCATTTCTTTTTTCATTTCCCTTTCCTCCCTATCTTCACCCTCTTCCTCGCCACCCTTCTTTGCTCTTTTTTCTTCCTTCCTTCCTTTCCCTCACCTCCCTTCTTTTCTCCCTTACCTTATTTCCCTCCCTTTCTTTCTTTCTTTCTTTCTTTCTTTCTTTCTTTCTTTCTTTCTTTCTTTCTTTCTTTCTTTCTTTCTTTTTCTTTCTTTCTTTCTTTCTTTCTTTCTTTCTTTCTTCCCTCCTGCCCTTTCTTTCCTTCTCCTCCTTTTCTCCCTTCCTTTATTTCCTGCTCCTCCCTCCTTTCCTTCCTTCCTTTCCTCTCCTCCCTTCTTTTCTCCCTTATCTTATTTCTCTTTCTTTCTTTCTTTCTTTCTTTCTTTCTTTCTTTCTTTCTTTCTTTCTTTCTTTCTTTCTTTCTTTCTTTCTTTCTTTCTTTCTTATCTCCTGCCCTTTCTTTCCTTCTCCTCCTTTTCTCCCTTCCTTTATTTCCTGCTCCTCCCTCCTTTCCTTCCTTCCTTTCCTCTCCTCCCTTCTTTTCTCCCTTATCTTATTTCCCTCCTCTTTCTTTCTTTCTTTCTTTCTTTCTTTCTTTCTTTCTTTCTTTCTTTTCTTTTCCTTTCTCTTTCTCTTTTCTTTCTTTCTTTCTTTCTTTCTTTCTTTCTTTCTTTCTTTCTTTCTTTCTTTCTTTCTATCTCCTGCCCTTTCTTTCCTTCTCCTCCTTTTCTCCCTTCCTTTATTTCCTGCTCCTCCCTCCTTTCCTTCCTTCCTTTCCTCTCCTCCCTTCTTTTCTCCCTTATCTTATTTCTTCTTTCTTTCTTTCTTTCTTTCTTTCTTTCTTTCTTTCTTTCTTTCTTTCTTTCTTTCTTTCTTCTTTCTTTCTTTCTTTCTTATCTCCTGCCCTTTCTTTCCTTCTCCTCCTTTTCTCCCTTCCTTTATTTCCTGCTCCTCCCTCCTTTCCTTCCTTCCTTTCCTCTCCTCCCTTCTTTTCTCCCTTATCTTATTTCCCTCCCTTTCTTTCTTTCTTTCTTTCTTTCTTTTTTTTCTTTCTTTCTTTCTTTCTTTCTTTCTTTCTTTCTTCCCTCCTGCCCTTTCCTTCTCCTCCTTTCCTCACTTGCTTTCTTTCCTCCCTCCCTTTCTTTCCTGCTCCTCCCCCTTTTCTTCCTTCCTTCCTTCCTTCCTTCCTTCCTTCCTTCCTTCCTTCCTTCCTTCCTTCCTTCCTTCTCTTTCCCTCTTCTCCCTTTATTTCTTCCCCCTTTCCTCCTTTCCTTTCTTTCTTACTCTTCCCTCACTTACTTTCTTTCCTCCCTTGTTCTTTTCTTTTCTTCTCCCTTTTTTCTCTTTCGCTGTCCTCCTTCCTTTTCTTTTCTTTTTTCTTTCCTCCTTCCCTCCCTTTTTCTTTCACTCTTGTCCCTGACTTTCTTTCTTTCCCTTCTCTCCTTCCTTCCTTTCCCCCTCCTCCCTCTCTCTTTCCCTCCTTCCTTCCTTCCTTCCTTCCTTCCTTCCTTCCTTCCTTCCTTCCTTCCTTCCTTCCTCCCTCCCTCCACAGAGCAGTGGCTAAAGCTTGGGGCGGGTTCTGGGTGGAAGGCCTTGGTGGGCCATATCCACCCCGTGGGCTGTGCTTTGTGTACCCCCCCCCCCCGCTGTGGCTCCTCCCTCGGGGCCCAGGAGTGGCTCCTTTGTGTGGAACTCAGGGGAGGGTCCCTCTGCTGCGTGCCATTGGCCCGTGCCCCTTCTCCCCTCGCAGACCCCCGCCGCTGCCGCCTGCAAACTGTGCCTGATGTGCCAGAAGCTGGTCCAGCCCAGCGAGCTCCACCCCATGGCCTGCTCCCACGCCCTCCACAAAGAGGTGAGACCAATGGGATGGACAGGCAGGTCGGGAGGGGAGGGGGGGGTCTCCAAAGGGCAGCTTCACTGATTCAATCTCCCTTTGTTGTGGTTTGTTGATTATGTTTATTATCCATAGTTATGTAATATAGATATTTGTCTGAGTCTTGTTTGCTACTTTGAGTCCCGTTTTGAGAGAAAAGCGGGATAGAAATAAATAAATAATAAATAATAAGAGACCCCCAGGGGCCAGCCAGTCCAACCAGGCAGGGAAGCACAAGCTGATCCCTCCCAACAGATGGCCATCCAGCCTCTGCTTAAAAATCTCACGTAGATAATGCTGTGTTAAGAAACAAATGTGTAGTCTATAATGCCAGTGTGTGAAAAATACAGTTCTAATGGACATGTGGTCACAGCAAGTTCAATTGAAGGGTTAAGTAAGTGGAGACGTGGACCTAGACGGAGAGGTGAGTCATGGCCATGTGACAGGCATCTGCTAGTCAACGGCTTGCCTTGAGAGGTATTAGGCATGGCCATGTGACAGGCATGATGAGGATTGTATCATTTCCTGTGGTCTCTATGGGTATATAAGGAAGTGGAAGACATGTGCCATGTGCGTGCCTTGCTATAGTCATCGCTTCTCGTTGTGTTGAGTATATCTCTGTCGATACAGATAGCAGACCTGATGTAGATAGTTGTACATAGACTAAAGAAAAGGAGTTGTGTTAGAAAGAAATGCCAGTGCTTTATTAAAGCAGCAAGCGGCAAAGTCAGAGGCTGTGCAATAAATCTCTGCCAACTACAGACCAAGACTCTGCTAGTCAACGGCTTGCCTTGAGAGGCATTCGGCATGGCTATGTGATAGGTATAACGAGGATTGTATCATTTCCCGTGGTCTCTATGGGTATATAAGGAAGTGGAAGACATGTGCCATGTGTGTACCTTGCTATAGTCATCGCTTTTCGTTGTGTTGAGTATATCACCGTCGATACAGATAGCAGACCTGATGTAAATAGTTGCATATAGAGTGAATGTAAATAGTTGTACATGGAGTAAAGAAAAGGAGTTGTGTTAGAAAGAAATGCCAGTGCCTTATTAAAGCAGCAAGCGGCAAACAAGGTCAGAGACTCTGCAATAAATCTCTGCCAACTACAGACAAAGACTCTGCTAGTCAATGGCTTGCCTTGAGAGGCATTTGGCATGGCCATGTGACAGGCATAACAAGGATTGTATCATTTCCTGTGGCCTCTATGGGCATATAAGGAAGTGGAAGACATGTGTCATGTGCGTACCTTGCTATAGTCATCGCTTCTCGTTGTGTTGAGTATATCTCCGTCGATACAGATAGCAGACCTGATGTAAATAGTTGTACATAGAGTGAATGTAAATAGTTGTACGTAGAGTAAAGAAAAGGAGTTGTGTTAGAAAGAAATGCCAGTGCCTTATTAAAGCAGCGAGCGGCATCAAGGTCAGAGGTTGTGCTATAAATCTCTGCCAACTCTCAGACCAAGACTCTGCTAGTCAACGGCTCGCCTTGAGAGGCATTGGGTCCCAGTTCTAATTCTCCTTCCTCCTCTTCCTCCTTTTGCAGTGCATCAAGTTCTGGGCCCAGACCAACACCAACGACACCTGCCCCTTCTGCCCTAGTCTGAAATGACTCCGCCGAATTCGCTGCCCAGATTTCTACAGCTCTATATTTATACGGCCATGTATACACATGTACATTTTTATTCTATAGGGAATGTGTGTATAGAACGTCTGTATACATACTGGTTCATAATAATAATAATAAAAGTGTGTATATTACGCCTCGGGCGCTGTCCTCTCCCTTCGGCGGGTCTAAAGCAATCGAATGCAGGCCTGGGCCAACTTCGGCCTTCCCTCCAGGTGTTTTGGACTGCAACTCCCACAATTCCTAACAGCCGGTAGGCTGTTAGGAATTGTGGGAGTTGCAGTCCAAAACACCTGGAGGGAGGGCCGAAGTTGGCCCAGGCTATTCCTCAAGGCTAGTCCATCGATTGGTCAGTCGGTCGCCAAATAACTCGCGTTGCAGCCAAAGGATGTTCTCTCTTTAATGCAATAATTTACCATAATAACATTCATGACTCTTTGACAGAATAGTGAGCGAGTGAATGAGTGGGGAAGAGTGCTGGGGACTCTTTTCTCTCTCGCGCGCATGGCCGATTGTTACCCGTTGGTCCCCTTGTTTGGCCCCAATGCCTAAACCTCCCTGCAAGGCATCCCTGTGTTCCATTTCCAGCATCTGTTGTAATGCAACTAAAGGTGGGGTTCTTATGGGGCTGGACCCCTCGACAGTCCTCATAGTATCATTGAAGGGTTTCAAGGCTGGAATCACTGGGGTGCTGTGAGTTTTCCGGGCTGCATGGCTATGTTCAAGAAGCATTCTCTCCTGACGTTTCCCCACATCTACGACAGGCATCCTCAGAGGTTGTGAAATGAGACATTGCAGTTGCAAGGATACTCAATGCTATTCAAGTTTGCTCGTTGCCAGAGGCGGCCCTAGGTAATTTTCAATGGTAAGCAAACAGTATTTTGCCCCCCCCCCCCCCCCAACCAATCACTGATATATATTTTCTGTTCGTCGTGGGAATTCTGTGTGCAATATTTGGTTCAATTCCATCATTGGTGGAGTTCAGAATGCTCCTTGATTGTAGGTGAACTATGCATCCCAGTAACTACAACTCGCATATATCAAGGTCTATTTTCCCCCAAGAGCATCTCAAGAGCCCCCCATGGCAAAATCAACTATACTGCAAAGGCTTATTTTGCGTAATGGTTGAGCCGCCCCTGCTCGTTGCAACATTCACACTTGCTTCAAACACACAAGGATTCTTTCTCCCACCCTCAACATTATTCCACGGGGTGTGTGTGTGTGTGTGTATGTGTGTGTGTGTGTATGTATATATATATGTTTGTTTGTTTATATGTGTATATATGTTTGCTTGTGAATATATATATATGGGTTTGTAAAGCATTTTTATTTTTGAGGGGTTTTTTAGTCCCTTCTGCTGTGTTTTTCAGTGTTTTTATGAATGATGGTCACTTGTTGGCCTGAGAGGTATCTTGTGTCCAAATTGGTTCTCAATTCATCCAGTGGTTTTTGAGTTCTGTGAATCCCACAAACGAACATTACATTTTTATTTATATAGTCTAGCCGTCCCCTGCCAGGCGTTGCTGTGGCCCAGTCTGTTGATCTGGGAAATAAAGTAATGAAATAGTGTTGGTTTCTAATCTATGTCATGTCTTTCTGCTTGTGGGTAGACAGTATTTCTTGTTGTTTCTTTGTCAGTGTTGATGGGGAGAGTGTCTGGTTTGCCCACCCTGGAACATATAATTATCCTTCTTCTGGGGTCCCTTTCAAATCTATGATACTTTATCTCTGTGTGTGTGAATCATATTTATCTATCTGTTATCTCTGACTGGATGGCTCTTTATCCAGAGGGCTTTGATTACATTTTCCTGCCCTGGTGAAGAGAGTTGGATTGTGTGGCCTTAATTATTTTCTGTTGGTTCTGCGTGGGAAGTTTGCCCCAATTCTGTCGTTGGTGGGGTTCAGAATGCTCTTTGATTGTAGGTGAACTATAAATCCCAGTAACTACAACTCCCAAATGTCAAGGTGTATTTTCCCCAAACTCCATCTGTGTTCAATATTGGGCATATGGAATATTCATACCAAGTTTTGTTCAGATCCAACACTGTTTGAGTCCACAGTGCTCTCTGGATGTAGGTGAACTACAACTCCCAAACTCAAGGTAAATGCCCACCAAACCCTTCTAGTGTTTTCTGTTGGTCATGGAAGTCCTGTGTGCCACATTTGGTTCAACTCCATCATTGGTGGAGTTCAGAAGGCTCTTTCATTTTAGGTGAACTATAAATCCCAGCAACTACAACTCCCAAATGACAAAATAATTTTTTTTGAGTGAACGACATATATTGGCTTGATAGGTGTATTGTGTCCAAATTTGGTGTCAATTCGTCCAGGGGTTTTTGAGTTCTGTTAATCCCACAAACAAACATTGCATTTTTATTTATATAGATGTATATATACATATACATAATTATGCTGGGGGAAATGGAAGGAAAAAGGAAGAGGGGCCGACCAAGGGCAAGAATGATGGATGGTATCTTTGAAGTGACTGGACTGACCTTGAAGGAGATGAGGGTGGTGACGACCGACAGGGAGCTCTGGCGGGGGCTGGTCCAGGAGGTCACGAAGAATCGGAAACGACTGAATGAATGAACAACACCATACATATACACACACACACTCCACTTGCTTTACCACCATCAGATCCTATGAAGATGCCATTAGCCACAGATGCAGACGAAACATCAGGAGAGAATGCTACTGAAACATGGCCATGCAGCCCGGAAAACTCACAGCAACCCAGTTCTCATAGTGTTTGCATGAGTTCCAGATTTAGGCAAGCAGGTGAACACTTTTGGCCAAAGGATAACGGCCGTATTGGGTTGAGGTCTATGGGAGCAGACCTACGCTCTTGCGCATTGGGTGTCGGAGGTCAAACTTTTGCAAAGATTTAATCAAGTGGCAATCCAGGCCCTTTCTACACTGCCTTTATATCCCAAGATCTGATCCCAGATTATAATAATAATAATAATAATAATAATAATAATAATAATAATAATGTAATAAATAATAATAATAATAATTATTATTATTATTATTATTAAGTGCTTTTATGGATTACTTTTAACGATGTAATCCATCATTAAAAGTAATGATGGAGCTGTAAGGAGAGGTGGGTAATAAATACATAATAATAATAATAATAATAATGACAATTTTAAAGACATTTTGCCCCATCTGGAGTTGTAACAAGCACTTTTGTCAGCTATTCGAATCCAGGAGCGGGGTGAGCTCCCATCTGTCAGCTCCAGCTTCTCATGCGGGGACCTGAGAAAAACTTCCCACAGGATGGTAAAACATCTGGGCAACGTCCTTGCAGATGGCCAGTTCTCTCACACCAGAAGTGACTTGCAGTTTCTCAATATAGAAATTTTATTATTATTATTATTATTATTATTATTATTAATAATAATAATAATAATAATAATAATAATAATAATGGTGTGCCTCACCTGGTGCTGTAAGAAGAAGTGGGTAATAAATACTAAGTAATAATACTAAATAATAATAATTTTAATTTTAATTATGTTGTGCCCTGCTTGGAGTCGTAAGGAAGTTGTGCAATTATTATTATTATTATTATTAGCAGATTATCTGCTTATCCCAGATTATACGTCAACTTTGGGGTTGGGAGGCAATGAGTTTTAAAGGCCATTTAAAGTGTATATTTCTTGTATTTTAATCCTGTTTTTTCCCACACTGCTACTATTTAATTTGTTTTTAAACTTTTGTATTGCAAGTGTGGGATTGTTATCTGCCTTGAGTCCCCACGGGGAGGAAGGCAGGGTGTAAATAAAGACAACAACAACACTATATTTACTCAATTCTAATGCTCACCTTCCCAAAAATCAGGGTGTGCATTAGATTCACCTAATTTGGTCAAGACTTCTTTGCATTTTCAGGATTTTGAAACTTGAGGTGCACATTAGACTTGAGTCAATACAGTAATATAACCCTCCTCGAAGCAGATAACCTGGGATCAGATAACCTGGGATATCTAAGGACAGTGTAGAAGGGGCCTCAGGTTTTTTCCAATGTGCCGAGGACTATCTTTACCTTCTCCTTTTCTTTTCCTTTCTGGGTTCGGTCCATAAAGTGCATCACCTATCAACCCACTTCCCTCCCTCCCTCCCTCCCTTCTTGTGGTGCAAAGTCCACTTTTCTTGCAGAGCCTAATAAGCAAACAAGCGTTTTTGAACAGCAAACAGACCTTCTTCGTTGTTTACAGGATTTGCAAATATTTACAGGATACTGTACACACACACCAAAAGAAAAAAAGAAAAAGCAAGCTCTCTCTCTATTCGTCCCAGAATGCGGCTCACCCCGAAAAAGATGACAGAAGAACCAATTACATGGAAATAATGGGGAAATGGGGAACGGGTTTCTCTCCGCCAGGTTGGGTCCGTGGTGCTGCTATAGCCCCATAGAGACCCCTGACTTTGATACAGAGAGAAGACCATCATCATTTTGGGCATGCACTTGGCTTGCAGAAGATTCCGTTTGGATGCGTGGCTTGCCTTCTCTATGGCAGCAAAGAGCCACGGCTAAGTTATCAAATGCTTTTTTGCCATCTAAAAAGATGCGGCGGATGGTTAGATCCAAAAGCCCTTGCTGAAACATTGGAAAGAGGTCAGCTAAAAGAGCTGCTAGCCCAGGCATGAGCAAACTTGGGCCCTCCAGGTGTTTTGGACTCCAATCCCCACTGGCTGCTAGGAATTATGGGAGTTGAAGTCCAAAACACTTGGAGGGCCCATGACTGGGCTAGCCTGTGCTATTTGGTCCCCATCTGACCCCTCTCCCTCCTAGGTCAAGGGTCACTTGGCCGCATCCTGTTCTAGGTGGGGAAGGCAAACAAAGAGGGCAGCCAAGCACCCTGCTCTGTCCTGACCCTTTTGTGGGGAACAGGAAGCCACACCACCTCCTACACATGGGAGGAAACCATGGAAGGGACGATTGTGTGGATGCCAGGAATGGAAGGGATGGGGGTCTTCTCAAGGGGAGAGATAACCTGAAGGGGGTTCTGCAAACCCAGAGGCCAGCTCTTGGGGAGATGGGAGGGGGTACTCTATGTTATGGGGTGGTTGCCCATCCAAGCAAAGTCCAGCTGAACGAGGATCGGGGCCTCTATAAGAAGAAGCCCCCTCCCATAGCGGGGAGCAGCGGAAAGGCTGCAAGAGGGCAGCTGGAACAGGGGAGGGGTCCTGAGCAAAGGGAGCCCTTGCTCCCCTTTATTGATGGCTCTTGAAATGACAGGGACCAACCGGGGCCCCTTGAGAGCCCCTCGTAAACAGCAGGAGACGAGACTCCTGTCCTGGTCACAACCTGGGTCTCCTTCCTGCCAAAAAGGGGTGCCATGTGCACACAGGAGGGCAACAACGCGGTCCCTGCTTTTCTTCCTGCCACTTCCATCACTTTTATATATATCTATTTCTATATATATATATATATATATATCTGCATATCTATGTACGTATATTTTAAGAGAGAGAGACGGATGTGCACGCACGCACACACGCACGCACACAAGGCTCTGGGGAAAACGACACTGACGCTCACCAGCTCTACGCAGAAGCAACACGCAGAAGTCTCTCCGCCGCCCCTCTTTCCAGAGCGATGCGGAGGGAGAGAGCGCATACCTAGGACTACGTTGACTCAACAACGAGAGGAAAGTGGTTTCCCGGAGCTCACCGAAATGGCTCCGGAACGCCATGAGTGCCGAGACCCCCAAACCCAAGATTCCCAACTCCTTCCCCATCATCATGGCGCCGGCAAGATGGGCAGAAGGAGGAAGAGAGGACAGGTCTCCTTTGCTCATTGTGCAGCGCATGGCGGCACGTCTTCTCGCCGATTCGGCTCGCCGGTCCCCCGCCCGCAGGGTCCGGGAGACGGGCGCCCCGCGAACAAAGCTGGCTCTCGAAGGCAGAGTGGCGAGTGCGTCTTCATCCTCCACGGAGCCCGTTGTCTGTTGCCATTGCCGTGGTCGGCCCCACTGCCGTCGCAGGCCACATGGGGCGCGGGAGGGCTCACTTGAGCAAGGAGATGTCGTCGGCGAAGTCGTCCCGGCCCCGTTGGAGGCAGCGGAGGCAGCGCCACTGGGAGACCATGAGGCAGAGCGGGAGCATGAAGAGGGCGCAGATGGCAGCCATCACGTAGGCGATGGTCATCAGGGTGGACTCGTCCGTCTGGGGGATGTTGTAGCCGCAGTCCTCCATGTCGCTCTGTGGGAAGGGGCCCTCCACCGCCACCGTCCGGAACTCGTCGTGCACTGAAGACACCGGAGAAGGAGGCGCGAGAGGTGAGATGGGAACAAACAAAGCCACCACCGACAAGCCACCCTCTGCGGCACTCGTGGCATCCCAACTGGGATAGCTAGGGCACTTTGGGACTCTCACAAAGCTGGCCCATGCACAGCGCATGCTTTCTCCACCCAACACAATACCAGTGCTGCATGTGTTTCCTTTATGGCAGAACAAAAGGGCTCGGACTGCAACTCTAGCCTCCAGGCCAACGAGCCACCCTCTGTGGCACTCGTGGCATCCCATAGACCCAACTGGGATAGCTATGGCACTCTGGGACTCTCACAAAGCTGGCCCATGCATGGTGCACGCTTTCTCCACCCACCACAAGATTGGTGCTGCATGTGTTTCCTTTATGACAGAACGAAAGGGCTCGGACTCCAACTCTAGCCTCCAGGCCGACGAGCCACCCTTTGCTGCATTGGTGGCATCCCATAGACCCAACTGGGATAGCTATGGCACTTTGGGACTCTCACAAAGCTGGCCCATGCACAGCGCATGCTTTCTCCGTCCACCACAAGACCGGTGCTGCATGCATTTCCTTTATGACAGAACGAAAGGGCTCGGACTGCAACTCTAGCATTCGAGCTGACGAGCCACCCTCTGCGGCACTGGTGGCATCCCATAGACCCAACTGGGATAGCTATGGCATTTTGGGACTCTCACAAAGCTGGCCCATGCACGGCACATGCTTTCTCCGCCCACCATAAGACTGGTGCTGCATGCGTTTCCTTTATGACAGAATGAAAGGGCTCGGACTCCAACTCTAGCCTCCAGGCCGACGAGCCACCCTTTGCTGCATTGGTGGCATCCCATAGACCCAACTGGGATAGCTATGGCACTCTGGGACTCTCACAAAGCTGGCCCATGTACGGCGCACGCTTCCTCCACCCACCACAAGACCAGTGCTGCATGCGTTTCCTTTATGGCAGAGCGAAAGAGGTCAGACTCCAGCTCCAGCATCCTACGATTCTGCGCTCTGCAGCTGCCCTTGCGCCTCTTGTGCCCACCAGTTGCATCCTTACCGTGACAGGTGCTGACGGCAAACCCGATGCGCTTGCGGGCCCGGTCGAAGACCACGTAGAAACCCTCCATGATGACGGCCCCCATGACGGTGCCGGTGGAGGACTGGGAGATGGCGAACTTGTAGCACTCGTCCTGAGAGGTGGCCACGTCCTCCACGGGGCGCAGGTATTGCTGGGGAGAAGGAGGCAAGTGGAGGGTCCTCCGGTCAAGGGGCAAGGCTTTTCCCCAACCACCCTGAAGGGCAATGGCCTTGGGAAGCTCCCCATAGTCCTCCTCCTGCAGAAACTGCTCCCATCCCATTGCCGCGGATGGTGGCACCCACCTGGGGTAGAATGCTGATGCGGAAGGACTGGTTGGTGGCCTCGCCCATCAGGTAGAGCGAGATGACGGGGAAGATGTGCCACGGGGTGGTGCCCACTTGCCAGCAGACCAGCTGCTCCCCCAGCCAGAAGCCGTCGGGGAACTTCTCCGTCTGCAGAAGAGGAAGGAAGGGACAGAATCATAACCTTAGAGATTATTTATTTCTTATTTATTATTTACGACATTTATATGCCGCCCTTCTCACCCCGAAGCGGACTCAGAGCGGCTTACAAAGTATATATACATACAATATATTATATTATTCGCATAGTACAATATCAGTATTAAATATTCCTATATTGTACTATACCATTATATTGTAATATTATTAGTAATATGAAAAAATGAAAAAAATGAAGCAAATAAATAAATAAAAATAAATAAATAAATAATATTACATGTAATATAAATATATAATTATAATATCATATTATTATTATTAGTAGTAGTAGTATATTATTATAAATATTACATATATATACATTATAGCAGTGGTTCTCAACCTTCCTAATACCGTGACCCCTTAGTACAGTTCTTCATGATGTAGCGACCCCCAACCATGCAATTATTTTTGTTGCTCCTTCATATCTGCAATTTTGCTCCTGTTATGAATCTTAATGTAAATATCTGATATGCTGGACCAAATTTGGCACAAATACCAAATACACCCAAATTTGAATACTGGTGGGGTTGAGGGCAAATTGATTTTGTCATCTGGGAAGTGTAGTTCCTGGGATTTATAGTTCACCTACAATCAAAGAGCATTCTGAACTCCACCAACGATGGAACTGAACCACACTTGGCCCACAGAACTCTCAAGACCAACAGGAAATACTGGAAGGTTTTGGTGGGCAATGACCTTGAGTTTTGGAGTTGTAGTTCACCTACATCCACTCAAATAATGACGAATCTGAACCAAACTTAGCACAATCACTCAATATGCCCACCTGCAAACACTGGTGGAGTTTGGGAAAAATAGGCCTTGTCATTTGGGAGTTGTTGTTTCTGGGATATATAGTTCACCTACAATCAAAGAGCCCCTTGAACCCAACCAATGATAGAGTTGGGCCAAACTTCCCACACAGAGCCCCCATGACCAATAGAAAATACTGGAGGGATTTGGGAGGAATTGACAGTGATTTAGGGGAGATGTAGTTCACCTACCTCCAGAGAGCACTGTGTTCCAAAGACCATCAGAAATACGTTTTCTGATGGTCTTTGGTGACCCCTCTGACACCCCCTCACGACCCCCTCAGGGGTCCCGACCCCCAGGTTGAGAAACGCTGCATTATAGTATAGTAATACATTATTTTATATTGTAGATTCAGGTTGAATATACCTTATTCAAAATGCTGAGATAAGAAGTATTTTGTATATTTTTTAAGATTTTGGACTACCTGTTGCAGAATATGTATGCGTAATAAAATGCTCGTGGCAAGGGTGTGGACAAAATAATAACAACAGGGAGGGCCGAGCTTGCCGCTCACCGAGGAGGCCGTCTTGATGGACTTCACCGCTGCCTCGAAGACCTTCTTGGGGAGGCGAAGGTTGGTGGTGCCGCTGTCCACGATGCTCTTGTCGTAATTGTACTGCGGGCGGAGAAGAGGCGGCACGCTCAGGCTCCCACCGCAAAGCAAGGTCTCCCCGCACCCTGCCCCTTGCGACGGGACCCCCACCCCAATGCGCTGCAGCCCCTCCTCACCTCCTTGCAGTCCATCTGGAGGTCCTGCCCATTGATCTCGATCTTGACGATGATGACCTCGTAGTACCACTCCTTCCGGATCGGCGTGTACCAGACGCTGCCCCGGAAGAGGGTCGGATCCAGGCCCCCGATGATCTGAGGGCAAAGGTCAGAAGGCGGGCGTTCGATAAAGGGTGAAAGGAGGGGTCTGCTGTTTCCCCCTCCCCCTTCTGACCTTCCCCCAACCCAGATTGCATATTTTGTTTGGCATGGAGTATAATGGAATTATCCATTATTAACTATGTGTGATCAATGAAAAAAAATGGTTCGATACTCATTGCGAAATTAGGGAGGGGGGGAATAGTTTTTGAGGCCGTTCCAGAAACTATGGATCTCAAATTTTTCTATAACTATAACACAGTAATGTGAAGTAATTGAGCAAGGGGGGGGAGGACTTGCGGGGCTCGTTTCTCCCTTGTTTTTAGAGCTATCATGATGAAACTTGCTATAATCGTATCACACTATTTTCCACTGTTATTAAAAGAGAAAGAAAATCCAGGTGGAATGGAGCAATGAATACCACCCCCCTTTCCCTCTCTCTTGCCTGGTGGCTAGGTTTGAGAGTTTTGCAAAAAGATCTGATCTACATATTTCGTTGAAGAAGGTATTTCTGTATATTTGACTTGCTATTAAACTGAAGACTTCTGAGCAGAACAAATGTCATAATAATAATAATAATAATAATAATAATAATAATAATAATAGGTGCTAGTTTGAGGCTTGCAAGAAACAAGCCCCCTTCCCTTATTACCAGCTGCACTGCAGTGCTTCTGGCATGAAATGTATATTATTATTATTATTATTATTATTATTATTATTATTATTATTAAACTTTATTTGTACCCCGCTACCATCTCCCCAAGGGATTCGGTGCAGCTTACATGAGGCCGAGCCCACAATACAACAATAAAACAATAGCAAAATAATACAACAATAAATAAAGCTCATAAACAGAAAATAGCAATAAACATTAACAATAACACAGCGACGTTTACAAACCTATGTCTGGGCCAAATGTACTAATTCAAATTTTAAAAAATAATGCTGGGTGTGACCAGGTGACATATAAACAGGACAGAAATTTTGGAGAGGGATGGAGCGTGCAGACAATCCTAGATCACTACTAAAGTGCGTTTAGGGACATATTGCTGGGAGTTTCCTTATTCTGGGAAGGCACACTGGAACAACCACGTTTTCAGGCTCCTCCTAAAGACTGCCAACGTTGGAGCATGTCTGATGTGTCCGCAATGCCTCTGCAGTGGGAAGACAGCACTCTGTGCATGCTCAGAGTGGCTTTTGCCTCTCTCTAGGTGCAGAGAAGGGGTCTTGGTGCAACAGAGCCCCCCGCTTGCTCACTCACCATGCTGCCCCCCACGGAAGCCAGAGCCTCGGTGTCGTTGGGCAGGAAGCCGGCCCCACAGAGCTGCAGGGAGAAGACGTTGGGGACCTGCGTCTGCTTCACCAGGGAGTCAAAGAAGGGCTCCAGGCTGTCGTCGGGCTGGAAAGAGAAGACGGACGGAAGGAAGGAAGGAGAGAATTGCCAACTAGAAATAATATATATTGCATGCAAGATAATGGGTGGGTTAGTATTTCTAACATCATGATATAAAGGTGTATCATTCAGGCAAAGTGAAAATCTCTAAGGCCAAGTCAAGGGCCCTAATAACAATAACAACAACAGCAACAACAACAATAATAATGATAGACCGGCAAAAGTCTATAAAAGAGGTGAGGCTCAAAAGCAGGATTGGAATAATAATAATAATAATAATAATAATTATTATTATTATTATTATTATTATTATTATTATTATTAAAGTATTTATTTGCAAACACACAGAAATGTGTTTGCAAAGAAATACTTAAATAATAATAATGGACTGGCAAATAATAATAATAATAATAATAATAATAATAATAATAATTCCAGCATATAGATCTCGTTTGCTGTGACATACTGTGCTTTTGTGTCAATAATAATAAACTGGGAAATAAATAAATACTTTAATACTAATACTAACAGCAACAACAACAACAGCAATAGACTGGCAATGAATACAATAATAATAATAATAATAATAATAATAATAATAATAATAATAAACCCAGCAAATAAATAAATACTTTAATACTAATACTAACAGCAACAACAACAGCAGCAATAGACTGGCAATGAATACAATAATAATAATAATAATAATAATAATAATAATAATAATAATAATATAATAATAAACCCAGCAAATAAATAAATACTTTAATACTAATACTAACAGCAACAACAACAGCAATAGGCAGGCAAATGAATAAATACAACAACAACAATAATAATAATCTGGCAAATAAATACTTTAATACTAATACTAACAGCAACAACAGCAATACACTGGCAAATGAATAAATACAACAACAACAACAATAACAATAATAATAATAATTTATTTACTTTATTTATATACCGCTTTTCTCAGCCCTCAGGCGACTCAAAGCGGTGATAATAATCTGGCAAATAAATAATAATAATCTGGCAAATAAATAAATACTTTAATACTAATACTAACAGCAACAACAACAACAGCAATAGACCGGCCAATGAATAAATACAATAATAATAATAATAATAATAATAATAATAATAATAATAATAATAATAATCCTGGCAAATAAATACTTTAATAATAATAACAACAACAACAACAACAACAAAAACAAATAAATATAATAATAAAAATAATAATAAACCAGCAAATTATTAAATACTATGATAATAATAATAGACTGGCAACGGGAAAGGTGTGAAAGTGAGTCTGCCTCTCACCCGTGCGATCTCGGCGTAGGCCAGGCCCAGGATGCCTTCCCAGTTGGAGCCATTGATGAAGAACTTGTCGGAGTCGGTGATGGCGGCGATGTTGGCGCGGACGGTGACGTTGGGCCCATGAGGGATGGCCACCAGGTCCGTACCCAGCTGCCCTTCCCACTTGCCCTGCGTGTAGGGCACGTACACCCCCCGGCCCAGGTCCCGGTACGTGCTGGACCTGCAAGAGAGGCAAGCCGTGAACAGGCAGGGCAGGCAGACAGGCCAAAGAGAGCGCTCCCATAGCTGCAGGGGCCTTTCACGGAAGAATAGAACCAGAAGGGGTCCCCAGGGGCCATCTAGTCCACCCCTGGAAGACATGAGGATGCAGGGCAGCCAAGCAAGAGGGCTCCTGTAGTAGCAGGAGCCTTTTCACTGGAAGGAGCCCCCAAAGGCCATCCAGTCTACCCCCCAGAGTTGCAAAAGAGAACAGACGCAGGACAGAAAGCTATGAAGATGCAGGGCAGCCAGAAAAAGTCCAAAACATCATTTGCTGTTGTTATCCAATAGGTTGTTAGGAATTGTGGGAGTTGTAGTCCAAAACACCTGGAGGGCACAAGTTGGCCCATGCCTGGTCTATTGGCGAGAGATGTGGCCTATACTCACAGCTGGCGCCGGTAGTATCGCCTTAGGAAGGGGTGCGGAGCTGCTCCCACTGCAAAGTTGCTGCTCCCGGTGTCCACAAGGATATTCAGCTGCAAGAGGAAGGAGAGGAAAGCGTCAGGAATAATATACAACGTGTGGTTGGAATGGAATGGAATTGTATGAAAGATGTACGGCTGGAGACCTAAAGATGCCACGCTAAGAAGGAAAGCCTGGAAAACTACAAAAAAAGAAGAACTGTCATTAGAAGTTGCTGCTGAACTGCTGACATGGATGACCAGAAACAAATGTTGACGCTTGGTGGAAAACAACATGTTTCCATTACCAAAGTCAATGACTAAGTTAAGGGAGTGTTTGCAATGATTCCTCACTTCAAAAGGAAAAACAACATCAGTTAAGAAGGAAAAGCAATTATCAGTCAAGAAGGAAAGCTAAACTCTGTCCTTAGCTGAAGGAATCAGACAATACAACACACTCAACAATCATACAAATCCTATGAGAAGCATTGCAACAAAGACCAATGTCCTGGGTGCCATTCCACGATCCACCGCCGTCCAGACTACAACAATCTGGGCTCTTCCCACTAGGACAAGTTGAGTATCCCTTTTCCAAAATGCTTGGGACCAAACGTGTTTTGGATTTTGCAATGCCTGTATTGGCATATGCATGCAATTTCGGATTCTGAAGATCTCTGGATAAGGGGTGCTCAAGCTCAAGGTTTGGCTTAGAGACGAGGGCAGCAAGAGAGGAGGATATACATCCTGTTCCGCCGAGGGAGAAGGGGTCCTGCCTGGATGCAATGCTGCTTGGAGGGCCGTATCTGGCCCACGGGACACCCTGGAGCAATGGATTCAAACGATAGGAAAACTCTGAGACTCCTGCAAGGAGCCTGGGTTTGCAATCAAGCAAGAGGCTCCAGTTCCTTAAATAGAGAGACAGCAATTGCAGCCGAAGCAGCAAGCCGCAGGCAGATCGGCTTCCGTGTGCGCCAGAGGAAGGTCAGGGCTCTCCAATGACAAGCCACACAAACACACATTGATACATCTCAGTGGCAATGCACCTGGAAGAAGAGAAGACTACTCCTTCTTTGTCTTCTTCTACTTCTTCCATCTCTGTTCTTCTTCTCTTTCTTCTTCTCATTCTTCCTTTACCTTCCCCTTCTACCTCTTCCTCTTCTATTACTTCTACTACTTTGACTCCTTCTTTTCTGCTTCTTCTTCTCTCCTTCCTCCTCTTCTCTTTCTACTTCTTCTACTTCTTCATCTTCTACTGCCTCAGGGGAGCGTGCTTGCTCCATCCATGTTCAACATCTACACAAATGACCAGCCACTGCCAGAAGGGACAGAGAGCTTCATCTATGCTGATGATCGTGTCATCACCGCTCAAGCAGGGAGATTTGAGATGGTAGAACAGAAGCTCTCCTAAGCTCTAGGTTCTCTTACTGCCTATTACAGGGAAAACCAAAACAACAAGGTAAAGGTAGAATGAGAAGAAGAAAAGGTTGATCCCCAACCCATTAGGTTGATCCCCAACCCATCTAAAACACAGACATGTGCCTTTCATCTTAAGAACAGACAAGCATCCCGAGCTCCTAGGATTATTACCTGGGAAGGAATCCCACTGGAGCATTGCAGCACACTCAAATACCTGGGAGGAGTCACTCTGGACTGTGCTCTGACCTACAAGAAGCACTGCCTGAACATCAAGCAAAAAGTGGGCGCTAGAAATAATATCATACGAAAGCTGACTGGCACAACCTGGGGATCACAACCAGACACAGTGAAGACATCTGCCCTTGCACTGTGCTACTCTGCTGCTGAGTATGCATGCCCAGTGGGAAACACATCCCACCACTCTAAAACAGTAGGTGTGGCTCTTAATGAGACATGCCACATTATCACGGGGTGTCTGCGCCCTACACCACTGGAGAAATTACACTGTCTAGCCGGTATTGCACCACTTGACATCCACCAGGGAGTAGCAAGCAATAGTGAAAGGACCAAGGCAGAGACATCTCCAGCTCATCCCTTGTTTGGGCATTCGCCAGCACGCCAACAACTTAATTCAAGAAACAGTTTTCTAAGATCTGCAGAGACACTCGCCGGAACACCTCAGCAAGCGAGAGTCCAAAAGTGGCAGGCTCAAACCCAGAACCTCAATCCATGGCTGAGACCAAATGAGAGACTCCCTCCTGGGCACACAGAAGACTGGGCGACTTGGAAGGCGCTGAACACACTGCGCTTGGGCACCATGAGATGCAGAGCCAACCTTCAGAAATGGGGCCACAAAGTGGGATCCACAATATGCGAGTGTGGAGAAGAGCAAATCACTGACCACCTGCTGCAATGCACCCTGAGCCCTGCCACATGCACAATGGAGGACCTCCTTGCAGCAACACCAGAGGCACTCCAAGTGGCCAGATACTGGTCAAAGGACATTTAATCCACTACCAAGCTTGCAAATTCTGTGTTTTGTCTGTTTGTTAAAAATTTGTTTAAAATGCAATACAATTGTCTGGTTGATACTGACACGATAAATAAATACATCTTCTACTACTTCTACCTCTACTGCTTCTACCTCTTCCTCTTTTTCTTCCTCTTCTGCTTCTTCTCCCTCTTCTTCTCCTTCTCCTTCTTTTTCTTCTACTACTTCTTCACCTTCTTCTTCTGCTTTTCCAAAACACAACTGTTTGAGAACTCATGGCTTTGCTATCCGAAAACGCCTTGCATCGCAACCAAACCAGGCACCTTGTTGTTGTTGTTGTTGTTGTTGTTATATTTATTTATACCCCACTTTATCTCTCCTGAAAAAGACTCACATTCTTATTGTTATTGTTACTGTTTATTTATTTTTTATTTATTTATTTGCTTTATTTCTATACCACATTTTTCAGCCTAAATCGGCGACTCAATGCGGTTTACACAGTACAAATTATCATAACAATAACATCATATACAACAGACAAACAACAATCAATTATCCTATCAACGCCTCAATAAAATCAGAATCCGTTCTCAAAATCCTTATACCATTCCTATGTTCGATTATACCGTCTTCCTGAGTTTAGTTGCACTGTTTAACCAAACGCTTGTTCATAGAGCCACGTCTTGACCTTCTTCCTGAACGCCAGCAACGAAGGGGCGTGTCTGATGTCTACGGGTAGGGCATTCCATAGCCGAGGGGCCACCACCGAGAAGGCCCTGTCCCTCGTTCCTGCCAGACGTGCTTGTGACGCAGGCGGGACCGTTATTATTACTGATGCATCATCATCACCACCACCATTAATTATATCCCACTTCTTCTCTCCCAAAGGAGACTCCAAAGAACTAAATTATTTTAGCAGATCAAGTTTTAACTTGCTCATTTTTTTATCTACAGCCACCAATTTTATCAGCATCATCTGTATGAAGCCGTGTAGATCAACCCCGTCTTATGGAGTTTTCAGATTTTAATGTTATGAATTTCTGGTCTTAATGTTTAATGTAATAATAATAATAATAATAATGAGGAGGAGGAGGAGGAGGAGGTGCAAAAGGAATCTGCGAAGCCCACCTCCTCCAAGACGAACTGAACCCCCTCAACTGGGCTCTCCAGGCCAATGGAGACTCCACCTCAGACCTCAGAAGAGCTGCAAGACAACCAAGAAGAAGCCACGAGAGTCAAGACGAAGACCCACCCAGAGGAAAAGTGTTCCTGCCATACATCAAGGGAACCACTGACCGCAGATGGAAGGTGATGAGGAAACACAACCTACAAACTATCTACAGATCCACCAAGGAAATCCAACCAATGCTCTGTTCAGCAAAGGACAAGAGGGATCTTCTCACCTGTGCAGGAGTCTACCATATTTCATGCAGCAAGTCAACATAGGGACCCCCAATCGCAGCAGCATTGCCCAAACACGAATCAAGGAACATGAGAGGCACTGCAGACTGACTCATCCAGAGAAGTTAGCCATAGGAGAGCACCTGATGAGCCAACCTGGACACAGCATTTTGTTTGAGAACACAGAAATGCTGGACCACGCTCACAACCCCCATGTCAGGCTATACAGAGAAGCCAATCCAAGAAGCATGTAGATAATTTCAACAGAAATGAACAAAATCTGGCTACGAGTATTAAAACCTCTAGAATCAGGACAGTAATTAAAGAACAACACTCAAAAAACAGGCGAATTCCAGACAAGAATCAATCAGTACCAGCTAATCCCCTCCCAACGAAGGAGTCCCCCAGGCAGCAACCAGCCAGGCTTTGAAATTGCAAGGGCATTAAATGCTAATCAAGGTGGCCAATTGCAACATTCACACCTACCTCAAACAGACAAGAGTTCTTTCTCCCACAGATATATAAACCTCACTTGTGCAATGCTGCTGCATTTGGGGGTCCCAACAGTTTCCAACAGACCTCACAACCTCTGAGGATGCCTGTCACAGATGCAGGCAAAACATCAGGAGAGAATGCTTCTGGAACAGGGCCAGACAGCCCAGAAAACTCACAACAATCCAGTGATTCCAGCTATGAAAGCCTTTGCAACAGAATAATAATAATAATAATAATAATAATAATAATAATAATAATAATTATTATTATTATTATTTTATTTCTTACCCGCCTATCCCCATGGATGGTGAATTTTAACACTGCATGCCTAATTTTTGTCTTGTGGACATATTTTTAATGTATGTATTTTGTGGAGTGTTTTAAAATGATTGTGTGTTTGGTTATGTTTTAGTAGTGCTGTACCTTGCCTTGAGCCACGAGGAGAGATGAGCAAGAAATAAAACTTATTATTATTATTATTATTATTATTATTATTATTATTATTATTATTATTATTATGGTTTGGGTCCACCCTATTTGCATGACCACGTCTCTCCCTATGAACCTACTCGGGCCTTAAGATTCACTCTACTCACAGTCCCATCGCCCCCACAGTTGACCTTTAGGGGAACTACAAACATGGATGTGGAAGCAGGCTTTTGACAATGGTTAACTACAACTTAAGTGATGGAGTTTTTAATTGATCCCAATACTAACTGGATTTTTACTATTTTATTGATAGGAGATGGTTTCTGCCTATGGTGTATGACAT